ATCGTTGCACATGTTCTGAAGTCCAAATCAGAGACCAAATGAAAGAGCCTGACAACACTACAAGCACTTTTGCGTCTGTGCTTCTAGTTTTGATCATTACAGGCACACATACTACCACATGTGGTTCTGGGTTCAAATCACCATCTCAGAGTATTTGGTATGGGGTACTTGACTGAGCCTTTCTTTCCAGTGCCTCCTTAGCTTGCTTTCTTTCGTTAGCAGTAATCAGCATTGCAGTGAGAAAGTTCATGGCATGTTGTGTTTCATCTTTCCTCCTTTCATCTCTCCTGAGCTGCTGTCCTAGCTGAGGACTAGGGAGCAGGATGACACCTGTAGAGCCCTGGCAGTCTGCCTCTTCAAACACCCTGAGCGCTTTCTGTCAGAAACCACCTTCGTTGTTTCTTGTTCTGACTGCTGGGTTGTGCTGTGTGCTGTTACAACATTGCCTTGTCTCAGCAGTAAAGCCATTTAATTTAGTGATGGATAAAATAGCCCATATTTAGAGTAGTTTGACTCAACCTTGAAGTATTCAGCCTTGGTTAGCAATGAAGTACAAAATCTGGATGTATAAACATATAAACACACATTCTTTCTGTATAGAAGCAACTGGACAAAACTTAAGAATGTTTAAAAAACATTTTTATGTGGACAGTCCGTGAAAAACTCTTACCAAACTCAGCCATCTGAGCAGATATGTTCAGGATAATGTCTATTTTCACCAGTTTGCCTCAGACCCTGCGAGTCCCAGCTTAGAAGTCAGCAAGGGGCCACACTCTTTTCTAAAAGTGGGGTTGCTGTGACACATGTCCCACACTGTGACGTGTGATGGTGCTGACCCACTTCTGCCTTTGTGTCATCACTGAGTGGGATCGCAACATTCTCTATTTTTCAGTGGCAATGTGCTCTTACAATGGGATGAAGAGGAATAAGTGACACTACCATACGGCATTCAAATGAGTGCACTTCAGAGCAAGGTCCCTTCAACAGCAGCACCGGAGAGAAGAAACCAGGTTTTTTGTTTGTTGGGGGCTGTGGGAGATAGCAAAGCATTCGCTTGAGGCTCTTGACACTTGCTCAAGAAGGGGAAATAAGGCACAGAGACATTTTTTTTGGCCTGCTCCAGGTGCTTCCAGCCAAGCCGAGAACAAATCCTGGGACCCTAGTATCATGTCTAGCTTCTGGAAAACAGCAACTCTTTTTCTGATCTGGTTCTTGCCTGCTTTCATATGGGAAGCTTTGTGAATCCCTGTGAGCTGAGGGTAGGGGATTTCTGCAAAATACACTCCAGTGTAGATTCCCATCACTTTCCGTTTGGATCTCCCACAGTCCTGTCTGCCCTTTCGTCCTTATTCCTTGTCTCCATTTTTTAGGCAGCAATGCTGGAGTCTATCCTCTTGACTAAGCTGTTGCATTTTAATTTTCAACAGGCCCCTATTGCTCTTGCACCTTGTGTGTGGTCTTTGAACGTTATGTGGCTCGGCAGCTGGGAATAGTGAGTGGGTGGGCAATTTAAAACAGAAAAGACTCTGTATCAGCACAGGGCTGAGGTTTGAACTCTGCTCAGCTTTGGATACGTGTAGCTGGTTCTCAGGGCTGTGATTTAAGTGCTGTTTTGCTGTTGTCAGTGCGAAACCAAAATCAGTGCAAAGAAACCGGTAGGGACGAAAAAACTTTGCCTGTCTGATAACGAGTGTTACTCTTGGCCCTGATGAAAAATTGCAGGATCAGGGCGACTTAGAATTTGTATTCTGCTGTTTTGTCACCATTTTGTCTCCCCAACTCGGAAAACAAGGAGTGTCTAATATGATGCCAGGGTTTCTTTGTTGGAGTATGTTTATGAGCCGTTTCATGCTGTGTAGGACACAATTCTGATTCTGAGCTTCCTGAGGATATGGACTGCTGATGGAGAGAGGCAGATGAGGTGGGTGCCAACCTGTGAGACAAAATACTTTATTGCATTCATCTGAGCATCTCTCTGAGACAAGGTAAATGGGCTCAAGCAACAAAATACAATCCCAATGTCATGAATTGTTGAGCTCATAGGGCCTGGTCCCCAGCTGCTTCCTCCTCCTTTCTGCTATTTTCTGTGCCACTAGAGGATCATATGAATTGGAGTTCAGGTGGGAGACCCTGCTTTTCATGTGCTCTGGCATGATTCCCACACACGCACACTTCTTTCACAGTTTCGATGGTGAGCCCACTCCGTATGGGCAGAAGGTTCTCATGTATGGGAAATTCACCACTGGCTCTCCTTCACATTTGCAGCCCAGAGTACCAAGTTCTCAAAATTTCAGTGCAGAGGTAGTTCTTTCCCCACCCACTTTCCATCTATCCCACCCAGGTAGACAGGATGAGCAGAAAGAATCTTTGCCTTGATGAGATTGATAAATGAGGTTGGAACAGAGCTCCTCTTTTCTGGAGTCCATATGGAGTCCTACCCAACTTCAAACTCATAGCTGATTCAAAAAAAAAAATAAAAGTTGGCAAGTCCCTAAGTACTTTTAAAGATTCTAAAGGTTAAAGATACGGTCGACTGGCATTCTTTTTAGATCCTGGACTGATAGTATATTTACTTCACAGAATTAAAAAGAGTGTACAATTAGCATTAGAAACCTATTAGATAGATATTTGGAAGAGTCATTTAATTTTCCAGTGCCACATAAGTACCCCTCATTCATCCCCACTGCACTGGGCTTCATACTGATTCTTAACATTATACACTACAATCTGCAAAATATAAGTAAGCATAAAAAAGCAAAAAAGGAGAATACCCTTTTTTTCAAGGAGCTGGCAGATTACAGACTAACATCAGCCATGTCATTGTAGAGGTTCCATCCTTAAAAACAGGTAACGTGCTGCAGCACCACGTAAAAGCATACTGAAGATCAAATGGGTATTAGTGCCTCTTTACTACATCTTGCACCTCACTGCATTCCTTTTTTGGGTTTTGTTTTCATAATAATAAAGGTGTATGGCCAACAGCCTCTTCCTGTGGTGGAATAACACAGGGCCATGAAGGTACAGTTGGGTAGTAGAGTCAGATGGATGGCACTAGTGAGAGTTGAAGGTTTGGCAGTGAACTGTCAGTTTGGGAACTAACCAGGACTACTAGCAACATTTTGGGAAACCAAAGTAGTGCAGCCAGGACCAACACAATTTAATATACTTTCTAGAGAAAAAGTCTGCACAGAATTTCTGTATGAAGTATAATGAATGAAGTGGCAGACTCTAGATGGATTTCATGGGAAAAGACTTGAAATCCTATGATATTTTTGACAAAGCTTTTTGTCCAAGTGTAAGTGAATATTCTGCAAAGAGCTTCCAGGATGAAAAGCCTAATAGAACACTTCCTATTACTAATGGGGTTTCTGTTTTATTCAGGCATATATATAATTAGCTGAGACTCCTTTTTGTTGACATAATCCATCAAATGCACCCCAAAATATGCTAATAGCAATGTGTGTCTACTTAACAAGTGTGAATACTTTGCACACAGCAGCAATTGTGCTGACAGTAGATGACACTGTAAAATTGCTGTCCAGTGCGATGTGAGTCCTTTCAAACCAAATGATTCCTGATTTTCACTTTCATAATCACTGAATCAAATTTACTCCTCCCCACTCCCTCACATTCTACCTATGTCTGGGAAGCTGGGGAAATCGTATTCTACCTCATTTCAGGGTGACTGCACAGATTCTCTCATCCTGTGGTTGCTGTTCCAAACTGCATTGGATCATGAGTATGCGTAACTTTGTGGCTTTCCAATCTTTATTCTGGGCTGCCCTGAACTCACCTTAGATGGAGATTTGGGGGTGCCAGCATAGTATAAAAGGCTCTTTCACTTCTGCAGGTTCTCAGCAATTAAGGCCTGGCAGCAATGGATAATTCTCTGATTAATATGATCTAAATGATTCAATAGGCACAATGTTAAAAAAAATAGCTCTGAATTCTGCATTGTTACAACCTACAACAACCAATCTTTTAGCAAATTCCCCATTTTATTCTTTATTCCTTTTGTGACAAAAAGTGAAATCTAAACTTGTTGCAGGAGCAGTTGTAGCATCCACTGACTTAAAAAAGGACCTCTAACAGTAAATTGGTCCCTAAAAGCAATTAACTCATATTTGGAGGCAGCAGACTATTCTGTATTGAAAGTGTGAGTAAACATTTCTACTAAACATGTGCAAGAGGGGATACTTGCCCTGATGGAAGCTGTGGCAGATAGATCCCATGTCAGTTCTGTTGTGGGGGCAAATACTATTCAAAAGAGGACAGCAATCTTCTGAAACTTGTTTAAGGACAAGAGAAGTAGATGCAGAGGCAAATAATCAGAGCAATCAAACAGTTCTCCCTGAACAGTTGTCAAGACCACCAATATATACGTTCTGTGCCATGAGTTTGTGGTGGTGAGCATGATATGCATGCACCATAGCAACAAGATATTAATCATCAACACAGACAGGCACATGTTGGGGTAAGTCTTCTGAGGTGCAAGTCGTAGGCTGATCTGGTATACACAACAAGCCCCAACGGTACCAGTTTCAGTGCTACCTCCAGCATCACTGCATAGTTGAATTCATTACAGCTGAGTTTATGTCTTCCTCTGAAGGATCCAAACTTTGGGCCCTGTGTAAAAATGTCTAGACATGAAGAACAACTCCTCTTCCAGTTCTATGTCCCTCTCTCTTTGTAGTTTCCAGTTACACACCCTGGGCAACTTCTTTGCTGGTGAGACACCACTGACTGGAGTGGCACTGTGCCAGCACAGTCTTTGGTACTCTGAGTGATGGCAGGGATTTTCAGAAGAGCTCAAGTGAGAAGGCTATGAGCCCAATTCCTCTTACATTTGGTCAGTAGCCTGCTCTTGGCTCGTCAGCATCTCTGCAAGGCCACTGGTGCCCAGTGCAGGCACTTCCCACTTGCCAGCAATCTGAAGAGAAATAACAGACAATTTAGTGGCACAAAACTTTCTGTTTCAGCAGTTTGTTTTATTTACCTAGATTTTTCTTTGAAGATGACACACCAGGAAAGTGTACCTATACCAACCGAAGCACCCAGACCACTATGCTGAAGAGTTTGGCATGCATTTTCAATTGTGAAGGTAATTTACTATTGGAAAAAAACCCTATGTATTTTCTCTCTTGATGGTGTCTTTAAATGAACTTGGATGTCCTCCACCCTCCTGAATGGTGATTTGGTAAGGTTTTTGGGCTTGGAGCAGCTCTGTGGAATTTAATGTTTGTGATACATAGGCCAGGCTATGAAGTCTCTTCTGCACTAAGGTACTAGTTCGATTCCTGTACAGGCCATTCGCTTAAGAGTTGGACTCGGTTGTCCTTGTGGGTCACTTCCAATTCAGAATATTCTGTGATTCTGCAAAGAAAATATACATTCCTACAGAGAAACACCTGGCCATGGGAATATAGGTCAAGACTGAAGTATGTGTGCCAAGGTTATGAACAGCTTTGGCCATAAAGGGATCAAAGGGTTCTGTTACTGGGAATTTCTGACCATCTCTAGAACTTTTACTTGGTGTTAAGATGCTGCTGGTGTCAGGGCCTCATAGGCATTGAAGGGTAGGCTTCCCGCGTAGTAGATATTCTTCGTTAGGGATTAGGAAAACAATTATTTTTTTTATGGTGGTAATGACCATTTATATAGCACAGAGATCCTGATATCCATGAGTTTGTCTGTGGAAAAATACACCAAAGAAAGACGTTCATGTTTAAAGTAGAAGTGATAAAGAACACACAAAGGCATCACACATGAAATAGGTCAGATGCAAAAATAAAGCTGAAGAGGGGAACTTAGGCAAGTGTGATATTTTTATCCGGACTGAAATTTTATCAAGACTTAACTATGAGGTGATGTGGTACTTCAGTGGTGGGATCACCACCTGAACAAAACTGTACTAGATTCTCCCTGTCTTTTCACAGATTCAGGTGTGCACTGATACAACTCGTCCAAACTCAACAGAGCTGATCCTGATGTACACAAGGACACTCATATTCAGATTACCCAGCTCTCCCCCTCCTCTTCCCCTCAAGGTCTTTCTGCTCATGTCATGTGGAATGGCATAAGTTCAGGTATGGATCAGAGAGACTTTGAAATGGAAAATCAGAGGATACTGCAGGCCATATTGGAGAAGAGCTGGCAGAGTGGTGAGGGTTAGGACTAAGATAGGCTTGTATGGGGTGCTGTGTTTGGAGTCCCAGAGGCCAAAAATAATGAATACTTGCAGAACTCCGTGTGAGTAACAAATGGCTTATCCTGTCTAGTCTAATGATAAAATGTTACATAGTGGGATTTTAAAAATAAATATGTTTGGTTTGGGTTTTTTTTGTTTGTGGAGTTTTTTTTGTTGTGTGTTTTTTTTTTTTTTAAGAAAGATTAAAGCAACCGCTATAGCTAAACACACTGCTTTGCTCTGATAAGATGCCAGAATTACACGACTTCTACTGTGTAACACGGTTCTTCGTGTGGGCGTAGCAGCCCCTCCCCATACCTAGCGGATACACTGTAGGGAATTTTTGCAAATGTGAGTATTGCCTCTTGTAAGGTCATCGACTAAAGAAAGTTAAATACATTGCATGAAGAAATTTCATGTCTTGTGTGTTTCCTTGAGAGCATCACAAAATAGTGCTACATAAAATTATCGGTATTACATGCATAGCAATAACCTCCTGTGCATATTGTTTTTCAAAATGTGTGGCCTCTGCCCTGCCATACCCTCCATCAAACTCATGCTGGTAATTTGAAAATGAAGGACTCAATGTAAAAGCAAGTCAGCCTGGTTCCCAAGGTATCTCCACCACTCAGTAAGCACGTAGAGAGGGGCTTGGCATTAGACTCTGCCTCCAGAGATCAGAGTCTACAGCTCACTGCCATTACACTGCCATGGTACTGCTCCCACTTTAGTTTGTAATCAGACAGACATGCCTGCAGAGACTGGGCCCTGCCAGTCAATGTATCTCCATTTCCCTCCTGCTTCTGCTCCACAGCTGCACTCACTTCCCTGTTGCATGACACAATGCTCACTTTCTACCCAAGCTTCCCATTACTGAGTGCCTGGTTATGCTTGTACATACTGGGACCCTCATGCAGTCAATAAGGGCTTGTTGTCTCAAGAGGTACCAAACTTGGAATGGTTTTCCAGGTGCAAGGGAAAGACCACAAGCACATCACCTCCACAACGAGGTCTTCAGGATTGGCTGGGCAATGCAAAGCAATGGGTTGTGGGCCTACTTGTGCACTTGGGAAGGCAGGGAAAGATCTTCAGGGACAGGTAGTCTCTGTGGCTGTGGGTCAGCCATGCCCTGGGCCCCGGCATGGAGGTGACAAGAGGACATGCACACCCTGAGGCACGAGCTTGTGCCTACAGCAGCTTTTGCCCCAGAGCGCCAGACCAGATGAACGCGGTTTGTGGACCACGAGGTGATTTCCTACGCCAAAGTTTCCTGGTCACCAGCCCGACCCGACTGCACGGCTCAGCTGTTACTGTCCCTGCCCGGGGCTGGGGCCGGGTATGCCCTGCAGGGCTTTGAGCTGGAGAGTGCCGGCCGCGCTGGCTGGCCGTCTCCCGCGGCCCCGCCGAGGCTGCCCGGCACCCGCCAGGTGCCGCCGAGGGCTCCAGATGCTGCGGGCCCCGGCACCGCCGCCCGCGCCCCCCGCCGGCAGCGCCACCGCCGCGCGGCAACCTGCGCCGTCCGCCTCTCGCCGGGCGCGGGGCGGGGCGGGGGCGGGCGGCACCGCCTCTCGCGCATTGGCTGCGGCCCGCGGCGGTCGCGCGACTATTGGTGCTTGCCGCGGTCAGTGCCGCCCGGCCCGCCCCCGCGCGGCTTTATAAAGCGGCATCCCCATGGCCGGGCGCGTAAACTGCCGCGGGCGGCACCGGCAACCGGCAGCGCGCTCGCCCGACACGGAACACGCCGCCGCTCGGCAGAGCCTGCTGCTGCGGTGACAGAGCTCCCGCCGCCGCCCCGAGGGACAATGGTGCGCGGGCCTGTCGCGCGCGGGTGCTCGCCCGTTCTTGCTGGCGCTGCTGCTGGTTGCATCTGCGCAGGGTCGCGGCACCGAGCCACGGGGCCCGCGGGGTAAGTGGATAGTAAGCTGCCGCCCCGCCGCAGCAGGTTGCCCTGGCCCCGGCCCGCTGCCCCCCGGGCCCTGTCAGCGCCGCAGGTGGAGCCTTGGCCGTCGGGGCAGCGCCCCCCCCGGCGCAGACCCTCGCAAGGGCCTCCCCTCTCGCTTATTAAAAGCCGGGTGCCGGCTGCTTGCGCGAAGTTCGTACACCGTTATAAGCTTCTTGGTATTTATTGCAGAAAACACGGGAGGAGGGAGGTTGGCAGGCTGTGTTTTAATATTGCTCGTCTTGCATTTAATGTAGCCCCTGTTCCCAGCACATAGCTTTAGGACTTTTTTTTATGTTCCCAAGCAGGGATTAAATGAATCCCTGCAATAAAGCTCGATGCCTTCAGCCCAGACTTCTCCCTGTAGGAGTCTAGCTCTATTTTTTTTTAATCTGACAGTATTTGACTCTTACTGGGGCTGTTAATTTCACTTACCAAACTATTACATTGCTCTGGGGGAGAACCCAACATCTTTTCTAAATATGGTTCTCCCAGTGAGCGAGTGCTACCACTGCAGCACCACTACGGAGTAGCATGAGAGCTTTCAATTATAAAGCTGCAAAACAGTAGCTGTTCTTCAGCCAATGCTGCAATGAAAGCACCACTCTGGGTAAGTGGACAAACTTCTGTCTCTGCAGGCATGTTGGATGCATTGGGCCATGTGCATTCTTGACCTAGCAGTCTGAAATACTGTGAAATGTAGCACTTAATTAACTTAGATCATGGTTAGGCAAGATCTGGAGTCTTCAAAATCCCTACTCATCTGAAATATAACAAGGGACTTCAGTGCAATGTTCTGTTTTCTGGTTTTTGGTTTTGTTTTTTGTTTTTTTTTTTTTTTTAATGGAAGTGCTGTTTGACCATGATGGCTATTAAATGCTTCTCTGAGCTATGAGAAGTGTACTACTGGCTGCACTGATGTCCTTGTGTTCAGCTGTGCTGTGTAGCCTCTTTTATGGCCAGATGTGTAACAGCAACTGTTAGAACTAGTGTGAACAGAACTAAGTCAGAACTGGTGTGTGCCATAAATTATTGGAAGCCTGCTTTAAAATATGAGGAAACACAGGGGTGCTTATGCGTATACCTGTATTGCCCCATATCAAGCATAAACCTCAAAATTGGAGTGGTTCCAAATAGAGGAGCTTTGAGGTGATAAGTAAGAGTCTGGCTGGATGACTAGGGCCCTTCATCAGCACTGATATCTAATGCTTTAATGAAGATCAATTTAAACAAAGAACAAAATAAAAAAGTTCCTGATGGCAGTGCATAATTTTACAGTAAGCCTGTATATCAAACAGGTTTCATATATGCAATTTTTATATAGTGTACTTTACAAGGCAGTTTAATCACTCCTTATGCTGTGTCTCTTGGAATGGGAGCTACTTCAGGAGAGTGGAAAACCAAATACAAAGGACTACTGATTTACTTTTTGCTTGAAGTAAGTGAACTGACTTTGCTATTTCTCCCTTCATGACTGGGGGAGAACATCAGTTATGAGCACTAGCAACTGCAGGTCTGTGGAAAGATGTGCCTTAAAGTTTTAACTTATGAGCTCTTAAATAGAAAGCTGTGAACTTCCAAGGTGTTTAACTCATGAAGTCTGTCTTTTTGCCCTTCAAAGTGTCATGATTAAGTACATGTGAAGGGGAGGAGGTTGGTTTACTTGTTTGCAGCCATGTTGATTGATATGAGCCTCTGAGCTTCATCTCTTGTAGTGATTAGTTAAGTTGTAATTAGTATAAAGGTGCCATACTTTAGATTCCAATGAACACAAACATTTCTTTATTATTAATTCTTAAATGATTATTACCAAGTTACACTGGTATGTATTTCTCATGCTGACTTGTGATCAAGAGTGTATTCCTGTCAGGAAACCTCCCTGTGTGGGTGACGGTGGTGTGTCAGTGTTGCAGTTCTGGGGGCCAAATCCTGTAGGTGTTCAGTTGCTAGATGTGAAACTTATCCTTTAACATTTTCTTTTCTGTATGGTAAGCACTGGAACTACAATATTTGCAAGGTGAAATGCTTTTAAAGGTGAACAGCAGCTTTTTAATCCTTCTCAATGAATTTAAATGACCAACAATAACGCTTGAAGCAAGTTTCAGATCTTCTTCTTTGCTTTTCCCTCTTGCTACTGTAGTGTTGCTTCTAAGCTAGGCAGTCAGCATTGTAACTGAATAGATACACAGAGGAGTATGGCTTGCTACTGTTTGCAGAAAAGGATGAAAAACTAGGGATATTGAAGAGAAATAGGTGTATCTACATCTCTTCTGCCAATAAGGGGTGAAACTTTCAGGTGAAGTGAGTTCAGCATAATTACTTGAATACGAAGTTAAATTATAAGTGCAGCTAGTATCTACAGGTCCGCTGAGGAACTTCTGGCTCTCAAAAGGTGTATGAATCTTGCTGTTTCTTGTTATAGTGAAACTATGAGCAGTGACATGAATTCCTTAGACTTGGTAAGTGTCAGTGACTTGCAGGAAACATCTGGCTTTTGCACATATGCTGTTGGCAACTGACACTTACTAGCAGCTGCTCCAAGTGAAGCCACATATTAAGTCTTATACCTTGTCCTAGAAATAACTTGGAAGCCCAAGGCTACTGTGTGGCTTGTTCCCTCACTTGACAGACTCTAGAAAAGCTTCTGCTGTGTTACACAATTGCCTGGTCACTTCTACTTTTGTAGCTCAGAAGAAAACTGTGGATGCGATCAACTGACTGTACTTGTCCATCTGAAGGACGGAAAAAGATAATCAGGCTTTACTTTCTATCATATTATCTTCCTGTGTGCCTCTTTCTCTTTGCTGGCATGAGATCTGGAGTTGTGTGGCAAGCCAGGTCTCGCTGTTTCCCCCTCCTTGATTCCAAAGTGATAGATGGGGAGCTTGACTGGGCTGGCTCATGCATCTCCTACTGTGTGGTGCATTTAAGCAGTATTCTTTCACAGCAGATTAAATAGATTGTGCCACTAAGCTCTGTATTCCTCCATCTGGACAATTAATTGTGACCTTTGTTTTTTCTAGTTCAGAGACAGATCTATGTAGGCCTCCTGCTTTTTGAGTATAACTCCTGACTATTATGAACTTGGTTCATTTATGGCAGAAAACTCTTGGTGGCAGTAATGACAAATACTAGCACAGAGAAATGGTGGGTGCTTGCAGAAGGAGCAGAATGTGACTGCAGCAGTCAAAAGCTGTCCTATGAATGGGCTTGGATTTCTGGAAGACTGGGGATCTGTACCCCCTCCAGTGACTGCAGAGGACTAAAAAGTGGGAGGGGAGGACAGGTAGTCACTATAACTTGCTTCCTAGTTTCATGCATGGAAACACGTCATATTGTCCCTTGAAAGGCATGGTGGGTGGGATCTTACAGTTCAGTGCTGTTGCAAAGGGAAGGTGGTAAATAATAAAATTGTGAAGATATCAAAAAATTCCAGTGTATAAATTGGAGTGCCACAGAACA